AACCGTATGGAAACTTTAGGAATAATTGAAAGAAGCAACAGTACATACATAAATCCTATAATACCAATCATAAAGAAATCCGGAGAAATACGCTTATGTCTGGATGCTCGTAAAATAAATCAAATCCTAGTGCCTGATTATGAATGTAATAGAAGCGTGAATGAACTTCTAGCAAAAGCCTGTAATGCTAAATGGTTAACTAGTATCGACTTAACCGCTTCTTACTGGCAGATACCTTTAGATATTGAATCTCGACCTTATACCGGATTTCAATTCCGCGGTAACACTTATCACTATAAAGTAGTCCCCTTTGGTGTATCAACTTCACAAGCTGCTCTTGTACATGCATTATACAGAGTTTTTGCTAATGAAATCGAAGACTTTACTCTTATTTATGTGGATGATATCTGCATCATCAGTTCTGACTTTTCCGATCATTTAATTCATATTGAAACTATTCTCAAGAAATTAACTGAGGCTAATATGACAGTGAAATTCTCCAAGTCCACTTTCTGTCAAAGTTCCATACCTTTCCTTGGCTACACTCTAACCGAATCTGGCCTACAAATGGATCAAAGCAAAGTCCAACCGATACTTGATTTTCCTACTCCAACTAGTCGGAAACAGCTAAAATTATTTTTAGGCTGTATCAACTATTATAATAAATTTATTGATCACTACTCTGAAACTATTAAACCATTATTTCGGCTTACTTCAAAGAAAAATAAATTTATTTGGACTCCTGAAGATGATACCACTTTTAACAAAATTAAATCGCTTTTCCTTCAAACTAACATACTTCATCACCCTGATATCACTAAAACTTTCTTCCTACAAACCGATGCGGGTGACTACGCAATCGGAGGCCATCTCTATCAATTAAAGGATGATGGAAGTAAAGCAGCTATTGTATTTTTATCACGTGTATTACAACCAGCTGAACAGCGCTTTACTACCACAGAAAAAGAACTTTTAGCAATTGTTTACTGCCTTCAAAAAACCTGCTATTTAATATTAGGCTCCAAATTGAAGATCTTAACTGATAATCATGCCCTCACATTCTTGAAAACTTGCAGACTGTTAAATAACAGACTCACCAGATGGATTTTGGCTATTCAAGAATACAACTTCGAGATCGAACACTGCAAAGGAACGGACAACCAGACAGCTGACACCTTGAGCCGGATCATCCATCCATCAACCTCCGATTCTCAACCTCATTATTCACCTGAGCTCATCGTATCTTACATTAAGAGAATCATCAACCCTCAGCTGCGAAATGACTTTTTGAATTTGCCCAGACTTCAAGCAGAAGATCCCATCCTCAGGATACCATATGCTTCTCTTAGACTTGGACCTGATTCACCCTTGTATGAACAGATATCCCGGACCTATAAATTGGACCAAGAAGTACTTTACCGGAAGCATCAAGACCACTGGCTGACAGCTACACCAGAGAACATCATCAACAAACTCATTTGGGAATGTCACCACCACTACCTTCATTGCGGGGCGAAAAAGTGTCTTACCATCCTGCAAGAGTGCTTTATATTCAAAAATATGGGGAGACGAATCAGAACCACATTAGCAACCTGCGACTCATGCCAACGTTGCAAAGTAAACCCACATCCACACCATGGATTAGCCAAAGGAATTCACTGCACTGCAAAAAATGATCATCTTGCCATAGACTTAATTGGACCGCTACCCACTAGTGTAGGCAACACTAAATTCATCCTTATAACAATTGATATATTCACTAAATTTATAAAACTTTATCCAATCAGAAGCGCTAACACCAAGACCATCATAAATAAACTCTTCGGTACACATTTCATACAATTCGGAAAACCCAGAAAGATACAAAGCGATAACGGCTCTCAATTCAAAAGCCGAGCTTGGATGAGAAAACTTGATGAGAATAACATCATTCCTATCTTTAGCCCTGTATATCACCCTTGTTACAATATGGCTGAACGACCTATTAAAGAGGTTAAAAGATGCTTAAGAACCTATTGCTCCCATCAACACAGAAATTGGGCACGCTTCATTCCTGACATTACAAATTTTTAAATGAAGTGCACCATGAGACGACCGGATTCACTCCGAACGAGCTACACTTAGGCCGAAGAGATCCACGCTTCTGGGAGAGGTACATCACTAACCCTTTCATTACAGATATACCAATGGAAAAAAAGTCTTTCTAGCTTCTCAGCGAATTAGAGAGAAGAGAAGGAAGAGAGCAGCAAAATTCAATAGACATCGTAAAGCCACCACCTTTCAACCGAACAACTTAGTTTTGATAAAAGCACATCCTCTATCACATGCTATATTAGGAGAGACTGCAAAATTATTCGATGTGTATGAAGGACCGTTCAGGATTCACCGAGCACTAGGAGATTCAACGTACATAGTTTGTCTTCCAAATGAAGAACATGAACTTGGACCATACCATGTTTCTGCGCTCAAGCATTACCTACCTCCGAGCAATGAAGAGATTTAATCACCAAAAACCTGTCAAGTTTATTCATGACCTAATTGGAAATATTGTACATAATATCATTCTTTTCACATTGATCTATTCAAGTGAATTCGTATACCTCATTAATCTCCCAAGAGCTTATAAACTTGTATTTGTTTCACCTTGTTCATTACTATGTTTTCTCTTATTCAGATGATACAACTTGTTAATTTGAGGTATTTCCTATTCAAATATTAATGTTTTCTATGATAATTTTGTTCACATTATTCGAAATCTAGTATTGGATACTCAAATACCAGATTTCTGAGGGGATATTTGAGATGTTCCAAAATTATCCTCATTGTTTACTTTTGAATTTGTATATAAGTTGTATGTTTATAAACCATGTGTTATGTATCCAAACACCTAGGCCTACTATTAGCTAAATTAATACCTCTAAATTATCACATGTGTTTACATACAGTAAAAGGGCAAAAGGTTTCACCTATTGTAAATTTCCATTTTTCACATTCTCATCAAACACTATCTTTTAAACTGAAATTTGTAATCACTGGAAGTTATTTATACAGTTTGAATTATTTTAGAAAATTATTCTTCTCTTTCACTTTCAAAAATATAATTAAAATACTCTTGATATAATACCAACCAATCATAAAAGTAACAGTGAATAGTGACATCAAGAAACCAGTGATAACTAATTGTTGAAACAGATGTATGAAATTTAACATCAAGATTGAATTGCATAGTAAGTGATAAAGAAGCAAGGAAGGAATCTGATTTGAAAATTTTAATTGGTGATTTAACTTAACAGTATTTATTTAAACCTCAAGATTTATCTCAATTACTTAATACCTATCATTTCTACATCAAGAAATATTTGTGGTGAAGACTGTATAAACTTTTGGGTGAGATCAAACTGAACTTAACTTAGGCCTACTTTCCTAAAATACTCACATTGCAAAATTTCTATTAACTTCTGCCATTTTTGAACTTTAACCTAAATTATCATTTTACTAAATTCAAAATTTGAACTTTCATCTTTTCAAAAGTGTATAGCCTACCTAATTGAACTGTAACTTTTGATGAACATTAGGCTTATGCCTATCCAAAATCACATAAGCCTACTTTGAGCCGGCACGGTACTCCTAGAACCCTGAGATAAGAATTTCATCTAAATGTATAACCATATTTGTACAATTAGATAAATAAAAGGTTTATATGTGTACATTATTGTAAACCCTGGACATTTATTTATTTACCAACACACATAGACAAATAAAGAACTTTACAACGTAATGAATGAGTTTGCTTAACTCCTAAGCAATATTCATGACGTTAGCTGAGTTACACGTTTACTGTTAAGTCATACTACACCCAACTGAACAATCAGTATACTTAAACTATTTATTTTACGTTATGAATGAGTTTGCGTAACTCCTAAGCAATATTCATGATGGTAGCTGAGTTACACGTTCACTGTAGTCATACAACACCCAACTGAACAATCTGTATAGGTACTTAAACTATTTATTTTACGTAATGAATGAGTTTGCTTAACTCCTAAGCAATATTCATGATGGTAGCTGAGTTACACGTTCACTGTAGTCATACAACACCCAACTGAACAATCTGTATACTTAAACTATTTATTTTACGTAATGAATGAGTTTGCTTAACTCCTAAGCAATATTCATGATGGTAGCTGAGTTACACGTTCACTGTAGTCATACAACACCCAACTGAACAATCTGTATACTTAAACTATTTATTTTACGTAATGAATGAGTTTGCTTAACTCCTAAGCAATATTCATGATGGTAGCTGAGTTACACGTTCACTGTAGTCATACTACACCCAACTGAACAATCTGTATACTTAAACTATTTATTTTACGTAATGAATGAGTTTGCTTAACTCCTAAGCAATATTCATGACGGTAGCTGAGTTACACGTTCACTGTAGTCGTACTACACCCAACTGAACAATCAGTATTATTAAACTATGTATCTTATGTAATGAATGAGTTTGCTTAACTCCTAAGCAATATTCATGACGGTAGCTGAGTTACACGTTCACTGTAGTCGTACTACACCCAACTGAACAATCAGTATTATTAAACTATTTATCTTATGTAATGAATGAGTTTGCTTAACTCCTAAGCAATATTCATGACGGTAGCTGAGTTACACGTTCACTGTAGTCGTACTACACCCAACTGAACAATCAGTATTATTAAACTATTTATTTTACGTAATGAATGAGTTTTTGTGCGTTTTTGAGTTTTTTTAACGACAAGGCCCATTCCAGTCTACTGGTCAACGGCTGCTTTCTTCAAGGTATCAAGGTATCAAGGTTTTGTTAAACTCCTAAGCGTTATTCATGATGGTAGCTGTGTTACACGTTTTTTGGAACCCAGTTTTAGTGTTATAAGCAAATATGCTATTTTTTAAACAGAAAAGAGATACTATGCACACTGAAAGACAAGACCTTTGTTAAGGATATTTCCAACTTTGCACAGGACAATACCAATGTGGAGGCTACTCTGGGAGAGGTGACAACTCTGGCTCCAGCTGATGCAATATCTCGTCTCAATCAGTTGATAGTCCGCTATCCCAAGTGTGCCCCACCTCTGGTAGAGAAGATGAGACTCCAGCTGTCTGTCAGAGACTGGCCTCAAGCCTTGGACACTGCTGCAAGGGTTCTCACCTTAGAGTCTACCAACCTAGCTGCACTAGAGGTAGTTTACCATCTTATCAAAGACCCGTTAAAAGTAGCTTATAGGTTATATACTTATAGGTTATATATATAGGTTATATACCATGAAACTGACCAGGAAGTGTGTACCTGATGAAGTAAAAAGTCAAAAGTTGGATAAGGGTGAAATAGTTGTATTGCATAGCGAAGATGTCATGATCATGAAATGGCGAGATAAACGAGTTGTCTCTCTTATTTCAACCTTCCATTCCCATGAAATGAGATTGAAAACTAGCAAGAGTGGTAAGCAAGAAATTAAGCCAGTTTTGGTACTTGACTATAATAAACAAATGGGAGAGGTTGACTTGAGGGATCAAATGCTACACAGTTATCAGCTTGAAAGAAAGAGGGGGCAGAAATGGTACATACAAATTTTCAAAAGACTGCTAAATGTTACTGTTTTGAATTCCTATCTTATTTGGAAATGTACCAATCAAAAAAGTGAACATTTTGCCTTCAGATTTAGAACTGGTAAAAATGTTATTTGAAACCTATGGATCCCAAGTGCAGAGAAATGTAAGTGGTAGACCATCGATCGAACCCAAACCAGCTCGGCAAACCGAAAGACATTTCCTTTACCTCATTCCACCTACTGCAAACAAAGTGAATGCTCAAAGAAGATGTTGTGTGTGTTCCAAGAGAGGAATTAGAAGGGACACTAGGTACTGGTGCCCAAAATGTGAAGCTGGACTATGTTTGGGAGAATGTTTCGAAGATTACCACACAAAACTCAACTTTTAAGGTAGGAAAAACTTTTATAACTGTCCTAGACTTTAAATGTAGGGCCTATTATATATATTTTTTAAAGCCAGTAATTTGCTGTTTAATTTGGTAAAAGAATTGTTAAAATATAATTATAAATAACAAAGTTATATGCGTTTATTGTACAAATGTTCCGAGCCTGCTGGAAAGCCTAAAAAACCCACGCAGCAGGGTTGGTCTTTATTAAAAAAACTCGTGCGTTGAAGGGTTAACCAGGTATATAAGCTACCTTCATACAAAATTTGATTTCAATCGGTTCAGTTTTTCTTGCGTTATAAAGTAACAGACAGACACACACACACACACACACACACACACACACACGCATACGGGGTTTTACCGAATACTCGCAAACACCTAATTGTGGCATCTTTCAACCTGCGGCCACCAGTGGATGAAGGAAGGTGGTAGAAACATGTCTGCATCGATATTTTTAATGAACACTCCATTTTAACATCTAACATTCCAGTTTTTAAATTGTGGCACCATGCCACAAATCGGTATATATCAACAGTGTGTGGACAGGATGCCACTAATGCGTTGTAGTGCTCTAGCGGTGTGTGCGCCCCCCCTACTTCTCGCGTGCGCTGTTGCCAGTTCTCCGTTCTAGTTCCTTCATTCCGTTCTGTATTCATGTGGCTATGCCCTAGCCACTGTAGCTCATTTCCCGCGCTCATGACGTCGTCTTTTATTAGTGTAAGGATTTTATATGAAGTTTTTTTCAAAGCTCCAATAATTTTTACAATTAATGGATTTAAAGTCAATGGACCAAATGAAATGTCGTGAGGATTACATAAAACTACATGCTATTTTGTTGATATTTTATCGTCACATTGTATGTATGGTTTACGGACTGAGATACTAGGAATAAAGGCCTTAATGTGCTGGGTAAATTATAAGTTTCATGGGAATATACAAGAAATTTATTCTATCTATATATTAATTACGTAAGCCGATTCTTTGCGTCAAAATTGTGGGCGACTGGGAAGTCGTAGAACGACGTGAGAGGGCTCAAATTAAAGGTCTTTATCCCGTGACGGCGGGAAAAATAGTGAAATTTCCAAAATCTTAACACAAAATTAGATATAACGTACAATGTTCTCCATAAGAATAGCATTAGAAGGCATTTACTGCTGATTTTTGTTTACTTCAATCTAGCTGATCGTGATTTTATCATTAGCAAGTAAGCTTACATTTGGATTACTCATTTGCCAGTCAATTCTGCAACGTAATGTATACTATATAAAACCAACTATGTAAAGGGATAACGTTACCTTTAATAATCAAGACTTTTTAGTTATGTCAAAGTAGAAATAAATTGTTTTCAAGATTTAAGAAACGATTCAAGATTAAAAGAAGATCTTCTTTGTTTTTATTTCAAAACATATGTAAAAGATTTATTCCAATTTTTTTTTTTTTTTTAATTTACTAACATTTATATTTGAAATTTATTGTAGTGCTTAATCAATATTTTGTATGAAGTGGAATAACCTCAACGGTTACTCTTAGAAAACAATTTGGGAATAGAGATGAAGTAGGTTCGTACAGGTATTCAAACGAACCAAAAATATTTATGTCGTGATTAGTTTCGATAACTGGGTAATGGAACCCTAACTAGCCGCAAAATAGTTAGTAATTAGACGTTGACTAGGCCCTTTTTTGGTAGAATATGTAAATCAATCGCACCTTTAGGAGGATTAACACCACATACTTACACTAGGCTAATAGTGGTTTTTTAATGTTGATCACAAACAAATTTAGGTCCAAGTTCAGTCAATGGGATGCTTTACTTAAGAATAATTTTGTTAAACCTTTACAAAATGAGCATAGACTTAGAAATAATAACTGGGTAGGGTATCTCAACACACCATTTTTTGCCTTTTCTTATTTGACGAAGTCAATTTCCAATACTGTATTTCAATCGGGGAAGCCTTGTTATCAGTATTAACCAAAAAACCAAAGCTACCTTAATAAACCAATATTTATTCATAAACATGTTTGCTGCCTTTAGCAGTTAAACCTCTGGAATCATTCAAATTCTTTATTGAACATAACGTTATCAACAAAAGCAAACAAAGACAAACAACAAACTGTTTTGTTTTTTTTCACAAAAGATATGTTGTAGTGGGATATCTAGGCCTATCCTGACATATAGATAATTTGATTCTGAGTTTGTTTAAATATTCCAACAATAATTCCTTTTCCGTAGCTTTTTAGGGACTATGTCCCTACAAGCCAATAGTTTACATTAAAATACGCAATAAGTATGACTCCGTTTTTTCTGTATGCATATATTTAATTCATGGTGATTTAAAAGTATGCGTAACGAATTTTTCACCTCACTATGATGTTTTTAGCTGTTTTACATACATTTAGCTGGTTTATATTGGTGGCTGAAAGTTACGTTTTGCTGGTCATGCCAGCTGTCATCGTCATATGGGGACCGAGCAGGGGTTTACATCCCTAGGGCCGCAAAATCACTTGTTCGCCTATTTACTTAAAACATTAATGCATATTAAATGCACAAGCTGTATCCATGGCATTGCAATAGACTTGTTTTTTGTCACAGCTGCCTAGACAACTATTTATTGTTATTTTTGATTTTGCTGATCCCTCAAAATATTTCACATAAATAAGAGGGACATTATATTGCAAAACATACTTGGGTGAAAAATAGCGCTCGTACCAAAAACACTTTGATATACTAAATTATTTGTTTTCTAAGCTATTTAAAAAGGTCTGGATATAAATTGGGAAATTTTGTATTTTTAAGGTAACGTTTTTCTCCATTTCATATATTAGTAACAATATATAGTATCAAATTCAGTAATAACATTGACTACTGTATTTAAACCTTAACACAAGTATTTATATATTCATTGAGGCTACTGGTGCTACCGCTGATGGCTTATGCATGTGTACGTTAGTAGCTAGCAGACAATTTGCCAACTAGGAACATGAAATCAGCTGTTCCCCGTCTTCACTGTCGCGGTTGCTCGCCTAGCATGTCAACAGCTGACTGCTGTAAAAATTGGATGAGGCGACAGTAACTTTTTCTAGTACGCTTCTTTACCATGGCATCTGCCAATTCAATTTTGTCCTAAAAATGTATACACATCTCTAAGATTTGTTGCCAACTAACAAGCAATTTAAATTAAAAAAAAACTATTGTTAATCATCCCTGCAAAACTGCTAATAATTCATGATCAAATTTTCATCAGAATTCCGTTAGTTTAAATCAACGATCACATAAGACCAATAGATGGAGCACATCTATATAACTAACATACAAGCAGTTCAGGTCCGCCTAGAAGTGGTAGATGCCAATGAAAACGGCACCAAAACTCAATGTCCAGCTTCAAAATAACTTGACATTTAAGCCCCCCATACACTATCGAACATGCCACCCGACCTGACGACCTGACCTGACGACCCAACCTGACTTATGTCGGGTGTTTCCCACACATTATCGAGCATGTTACCCAACAAGTCAGGTGAAATATTAGTTCTGAGATGGATTTTGAGACGACTGTTAGCTGTTTCAGGGGGATTTTCAGCGATGATTTTAGGGATTTTTAGAGCCTATGGAACTAGGCTCTTAAATTTTCAATTTTATTTTTAACAAACTTTAAATCACACTCTGGATACAGTTCCTTGCACTTTTCCATCAGGATATCTTGCCCCTATGTGCATGTTTGTTGCAATAGAGTTTACTTTTGACAGCCCACAACGCCTTCTGGTCTCTGTAGAGTTAAAAAATTCTGACCAGAACTGTTTATTATTATTAAATGACATTATGGAAAAATGGGACGGTTATCACGCACAACTCGCTAAGTACAAGTTAACTGGAAACTGTGGCCAACATGTCAGGCGGACGGCTCGAGTCGGGTGGGGCTACCGAACCGAGCATCCGACCTGACATATCCGTCGAGCATGTCGGGTCGGAACCCACACACTGTCCAATATGTTCGACAAGACGTCGGATCCCGACATGTCCGTCCAACATGTTGGATAGTGTATGGGGGGCTTTTAGACTAAAGGTAAATCGTTGACACTTCGTGTGAAAGATGTCAATTAGTCTAGGACACTATTGGTTCTAATTAAAAGCTCAAAAGTTTATATTTTCTATTTTAAATCTTGAAATAAAGTCGGTACTTTTAAATGAGTTTTTAAATATGACATAACAAAGTTCGTCGGCTGTTACTGTTTTTATTTCTTCTT